TGAGTCTCTGTGGGTCTTTGTGGGTCTCTGTGGGTCTCTATGGGTCTCTGTGTATCTCTATGAGTTTCTGTGGGTCTCTATGCGTTCAGAGATATTTGGCCTACTATAAATGCCCACGCGATTATGATGATGATGATCGTCATCATGTTGATAAGCCGCTTCGTTGATCTGCTGACATTTGTGTAAGCCGGGTCGCCTCTGAACTTGAGTTACACAGTTCAATGGAGCCTTGTGCCTGGTAACTAAAATAGTTTAATTTTAGTTTGGTGTATGAGTCTCTGTGGGTCTCTATGTATCTCTGTGGGTCTCTGTGGGTCTCTGTAGGTCTCTGTGGGTCTCTATGAGTCTCTGTGGGTCTCTATGAGTCTCTGTGGGTCTCTATGAGTCTCTGTGTATCTCTGTAGGTCTCTGTGGGTCTCTGTGGGTCTCTGTGGGTCTCTGTGGGTCTCTGTGGGTCTCTGTGTGTCTCTGTGGGTCTCTGTGGGTCTCTATGGGTCTCTGTGGGTCTCTATGGGTCTCTGTGGGTCTCTATGAGTCTCTGTGTATCTCTGTGGATCTCTTATGAATCTCTGTGTATCTCTGTGGGTCTCTGTGGGTCTCTATGGGTCTATATGAGTCTCTGTGTATCTCTGTGGGTCTCTGTGGGTCTCTATGGGTCTCTATGGGTCTCTGTGGGTCTCTATGGGTCTGTGTGGGTCTCTATGGTTCTATGAGTCCCTGGATCTGTGGGTCTCTATGGGTCTCTGTGTATCTCTGAGTCTCTGTGGGTCTCTATGAGTCTCTGTGGGTCTCTGTGTATCTCTGTGGGTCTGTGTATCTCTGTGGGTCTCTGTGGGTGTCTATGGGTCTCTGTGGGTCTCTATGGGTCTCTATGGGTCTCTATGAGTCTCTGTGGGTCGCTGAGTCTCTGTGTATCTCTGTGGGTCTCTGTGGGTGTCTGTGGGTCTCTGTGGGTCTCTGTGAGTCTCTGTGTATCTCTGTGGGTCTCTGTGGGTCTCTATGGGTCTCTATGAGTCTCTGTGGGTCTCTGAGTCTCTGTGTATCTCTGTGGGTCTCTATGAGTCCCTGTGTATCTCTGTGTATCTCTGTGGGTCTCTGTGGGTCTCTATGCGTTCAGAGATATTTGGCCTACTATAAATGCCCACGCGATTATGATGATCATCATGTTGATAAGCCACTTCGTTGAGCTATCATTTGTGGAAGCTCGGTCGCCTCTGAACATGAGTTACACAGTGAGGCCTTACACGCCAGTGATCGGCTCCTGGTGCCTCCCCTAGGTCTACTCAGCCTCAAACGAGTAACCTGCTCCCGTGCGGTGTGTAGTAAACATCGCCACTGGGGGAGACAAAGGCGGCCGGGTGTGGTGCTGGCCACCCACCCCCTCGTGTGCCACAGTGCCGGTAGCCTTCGTAGGTGCTGCTACTCGCTAACAGCACTTGCCCCAACAGTCTGTTACAGGCTACACGGGGGATCTTTGGCTTTGTTGTACGTGTGCTTGTTTGTCTATACACAGTTTTTAAATATACAAACACACGCGTCGTTTCGCGTACAATAAACCACGCGAAAACATCGTAACGTTCTGCAATTTAATAACGAAAAAGAACACATTCATAGCTTAACAGAGGGTTGATATATTTATCTCTCTCTCTCTCTGTAGGTTTGTTCGCCTCCATATTTGGTGGTAAATATTTACGCGACTTCGCCCAATAAACAAAACCTCTATTATGGATAATATTTGGTCGCTAAAGCCTCATCCTCCTCCTACCACCACCACCACCACCACGTGTTAAATTGACAATGACAGGCAAGCAACCGGCTCATAGGCGCCACGGTGGCTATGAGATGTTTACTACCTCGCCTGATCTGCAGGAGCTCGTGGGTTCGATCCCAACCCTGACGATGCCTGCTGCTGCTGTATATTTGGAGTTTGTGTCTCTCTCTTATCATCATCACAGTGGCTAGGAGATGTTAACTACCTCGCCTGGTCTACAGGAGGTCGTGGGTTCGATCCCAACCCTGATGCCTGCTGCTGTATATTTGGAGTTTGTGTGTCTCTCTCATTATCATCATCATCACGGTGGCTATGAGATGTTAACGACCTCGCCTGGTCTGCAGGAGCTCGTGGGTTCGATCCCGACCCTGACGACGCCTGCTGCTGCTGTATATTTGGAGTCTGCGTGTCTCTCATCATCATCATCGCTTCTGAAAAACAGCGACGGAGCTCAGTGGGACCTTCACTGGTACAAATAAAAAAATAGAATTAGTTTAGAATGTACACACACACACTACTACTACATACGAGATACATTCAATGCAACCCTTGCAGTCCTATACGCAGACACATCTGCCATTTGAAATGCGGTGGTGGTGGTAAGGGGTTGGTGGATCACGAGCAGATTCACGTCGCGCTTATCAAACTCGCCGGGCTGCCGGGTGGCCACCGTGACGGAGGTGGAAGCGGGATCACGAACCCGTCTGTGCGGTTATGGCGCTGCAGGTCCACACAACGCCCGCCCGCCCGCCCGCTCGCTCGCCCGCCCGCTCGCTCGCCCACCCGCTCGCTCGCCCACCCGCTCGCTCGCTTACCCAACCGCTCGCTCAATCGCTCACCCACCTGCTCACCCACCCACCAACCCGCACGCTCACCCACCCGCTCACCCACTCACCCACCCACCCACTCGCATAGACTCACACAGAAGTCCGCAGGTTCAGAGAACTACGGATTTGCGGAGACACATCGACTGGCATGGAGGCCCAAGGACTCACCCCCGCCACCACCAACGCCACCACAACCACCACCACCACCGCCACGACCACCACCACCACAACCACCACGACCACCACCGCCGCCACCGCCGCACGGACCAAACTGCCGCGGGGCAAAACTTGGCGCCGTCCCTGCCACGCGCCCCCCCCCACACCCCTTCACATCGATACCCAATGACAATTACATTCAAATCCCGGCCAATCACCGCCCGCAAACTCTGTGTGTGTGTGTGTCGTTCAAACGCCGGTCTCCGTTAGCCCCCCGTGGCGTCTCCCGTGTCTCCGTTAGCCCCCATGGTGTCTCCCGTGTCTCCGTTAGCCCCCCCCGTGTCATCTCCCGTGTCTCCGTTAGTCCCCGTGGTGTCTCCCGTGTCTCCGTTAGTCCCCGTGGCGTCTCCCGTGTCTCCGTTAGTCCCCCGTGGCGTCTCCCGTGTCTCCGTTAGTCCCCGTGGCGTCTCCCGTGTCTCCGTTAGTCCCCCCGCGTCGTCTCCCGTGTCTCCGTTAGTCTCCCCGTGGTGTCTCCCGTGTCTCCGTTAGTCCCCGCGGTGTCTCCCGTGTCTCCGTTAGTCCCCGTGGCGTCTCCCGTGTCTCCGTTAGTCCCCCGTGGTGTCTCCCGTGTCTCCGTTAGTCCCCCCGCGTCGTCTCCCGTGTCTCCGTTAGTCTCCCCGTGGTGTCTCCCGTGTCTCCGTTAGTCCCCGTGGCGTCTCCCGTGTCTCCGTTAGTCCCCGTGGCGTCTCCCGTGTCTCCGTTAGTCCCCGTGGCGTCTCCCGTGTCTCTGTTAGTCCCCCCGTGGTGTCTCCCGTGTCTCCGTTAGTCCCCCGTGGCGTCTCCCGTGTCTCCGTTAGTCTCCCCGCGGTGTCTCCCGTGTCTCCGTTAGTCCCCCCGTGGTGTCTCCCGTGTCTCCGTTAGTCCCCCGTGGTGTCTCCCGTGTCTCCGTTAGTCCCCCGTGGTGTCTCCCGTGTCTCCGTTAGTCCCCCGTGGTGTCTCCCGTGTCTCCGTTAGTCCCCCGTGGTGTCTCCCGTGTCTCCGTTAGCCCCCCCGCGGTGTCTCCCGTGTCTCCGTTAGTCCCCGTGGCGTCTCCCGTGTCTCCGTTAGTCCCCTGTGGTGTCTCCCGTGTCTCCGTTAGTCCCCCCGTGGTGTCTCTCGTGTCTCCGTTAGTCCCCCCGCGTCGTCTCCCGTGTCTCTGTTAGTCCCCGTGGTGTCTCCCGTGTCTCCGTTAGTCCCCCGTGGCGTCTCCCGTGTCTCCGTTAGTCCCCCGTGGTGTCTCCCGTGTCTCCGTTAGTCCCCCGTGGTGTCTCCCGTGTCTCCGTTAGACCCCGTGGTGTCTCCCGTGTCTCCGTTAGTCCCCCGTGGCGTCTCCCGTGTCTCCGTTAGTCCCCCGCGTCATCTCCCGTGTCTCCCTTAGTCCCCCGTGGTGTCTCCCGTGTCTCCGTTAGACCCCGTGGTGTCTCCCGTGTCTCCCGTGTCTCCGTTAGTCCCCCGTGGTGTCTCCCGTGTCTCCCGTGTCTCCGTTAGTCCCCCGCGTCGTCTCCCGTGTCTCCGTTAGTCCCCGTGGTGTCTCCCGTGTCTCCGTTAGTCCCTGTGGTGTCTCCCGTGTCTCCGTTAGCCCCCCCGTGGGGTCTCCCGTGTCTCCGTTAGTCCCCGTGGTGTCTCCCGTGTCTCCGTTAGTCTCCCCGTGGCGTCTCCCGTGTCTCCGTTAGTCCCCCGTGGCGTCTCCCGTGTCTCCGTTAGTCTCCCCGTGGTGTCTCCCGTGTCTCCGTTAGTCCCCCGTGGCGTCTCCCGTGTCTCCGTTAGTCCCCGTGGTGTCTCCCGTGTCTCCGTTAGTCCCCGTGGTGTCTCCCGTGTCTCCGTTAGTCCCCGTGGTGTCTCCCGTGTCTCCGTTAGTCCCTGTGGTGTCTCCCGTGTCTCCGTTAGCCCCCCCGTGGGGTCTCCCGTGTCTCCGTTAGTCCCCCGTGGTGTCTCCCGTGTCTCCGTTAGACCCCGTGGTGTCTCCCGTGTCTCCGTTAGTCCCCCGTGGTGTCTCCCGTGTCTCCGTTAGTCCCCCGCGTCGTCTCCCGTGTCTCCGTTAGTCTCCCCGTGGCGTCTCCCGTGTCTCCGTTAGTCCCCCGTGGTGTCTCCCGTGTCTCCGTTAATCTCCCCGTGGTGTCTCCCGTGTCTCCGTTAGTCCCCCGCGTCGTCTCCCGTGTCTCTATTAGTCCCCGTGGCGTCTCCCGTGTCTCCGTTAGTCCCCCGTGGTGTCTCCCGTGTCTCCGTTAGTCCCCCGTGGTGTCTCCCGTGTCTCCGTTAATCTCCCCGTGGTGTCTCCCGTGTCTCCGTTAGTCCCCCGCGTCGTCTCCCGTGTCTCCGTTAGCCCCCGTGGTGTCTCCCGTGTCTCCGTTAGTCCCCCGCGTCGTCTCCCGTGTCTCCGTTAGCCCCCGTGGCGTCTCCCGTGTCTCCGTTAGTCCCCGTGGCGTCTCCTCCGCTTGGCGAGCGTGTCCTGGAAGGTGTGCGGCCTCAGCTTCATCTCCACGAAGCTCAGGGATCCCTCATGGCCACGCCAGGCCACCCAATTCACCCCCTACATACACAGCGTTCACACACACACAGAGTTCACACACACACAGCGTTCACACACACAGCGTTCACACACACACACACAGCGTTCACACACAGCGTTCACACACACACACAGCGTTCACACACAGACACACAGCGTTCACACACACAGCGTTCACACACACACACAGCGTTCACACACACACACAGCGTTCACACACACACAGCGTTCACACACACACACAGCGTTCACATACACACAGCGTTCACACACACACACACAGCGTTCACACAGCGTTCACACACACACACAGCGTTCACACACACACACACAGCGTTCACACACACACACACACAGCGTTCACACACACACAGCGTTCACACAGCGTTCACACACGCACAGCGTTCACACACACACAGCGTTCACACACACACACACACAGCGTTCACACCCACACACACAGCGTTCACACACACAGCGTTCACACACACACACAGCGTTCACACACACACAGCGTTCACACACACACACACACAGCGTTCACACACACAGCGTTCACACACACACACACAGCGTTCACACACACACAGCGTTCACACACACACACGCACAGCGTTCACACACACACAGCGTTCACACACACACACAGCATTCACACACACACACAGCGTTCACACACACACACAGCGTTCACACACACACACAGCGTTCACACACACACAGCGTTCACACACACACACAGCGTTCACACACGCACAGCGTTCACACACACAGCATTCACACACACACAGCGTTCACACACACACACAGCGTTCACACACGCACAGCGTTCACACACGCACAGCGTTCACACACACACACAGCGTTCACACACACACACAGCGTTCACACACACAGACAGCGTTCACACACACACAGCGTTCACACACACACACAGCGTTCACACACACACAGCGTTCACACACACAGCATTCACACACACAGCGTTCACACACACACAGCGTTCACACAGACACACACAGCGTTCACACACACAGCGTTCACACACACACACAGCGTTCACACACACACAGCGTTCACACACACACACACAGCGTTCACACACACACACAGCGTTCACACACACACACAGCGTTCACACACACAGCGTTCACACACACACACAGCGTTCACACACACGCACAGCGTTCACACACACGCAGCGTTCACACACACACACAGCGTTCACACGCACAGCGTTCACACACACACACAGCGTTCACATACACAGCGTTCACACACACACACAGCGTTCACACGCACAGCGTTCACACACACACAGCGTTCACATACACAGCGTTCACACACACACAGCGTTCACACACACAGCGTTCACACACACGCACAGCGTTCACATACACAGCGTTCACACACACACACACAGCGTTCACACACACACACACACAGCGTTCACACACACACAGCGTTCACACACACACAGCGTTCACACGCAGCACAGACCACGTGGTGTGATGTGGTGTGTGTGCTATGAGTGCGCGCGTGCGTAGTATGGGGTGTGTGTGGTGTGTGCGGTGTGGTGTATGTGGTGTGGTGTGTGTGGTGTGGTGTGTGCGGTGTGGTGTATGCGATGTGGTGTGTGTGGTGTGGTGTGTGCGGTGTGTGGTGGGTGTAGTGTGGTGTGTGTGTGGTGTGTGTGGTGTGAGTGCGTGTGTGTGGCATGGTGTGTGGCATGGTGTGTGTGGCGTGGTGTGTGTGGCGTGGTGTGTGTGGCGTGGTGTGTGTGGCGTGGTGTGGTGTGATGCGTGCGAGTGCCGTGGTGTGGCATGGATGTGTGTGGTTTGGTATGATGCGTGCTGTGTGGTGTGTGCGGTGTGATGTGTGTGTTGTGATGCCTGCCGTGCGGTGCGTGTGGCGTGGTGTGCGCAGTGCGATGTGTGTGGTGTGGTATGATGTGCGCGGTGTGATGCGTGCGGTATGATGTGTGCGGTGTGATGTGCGCGGTGTGATGCATGCGGTATGATGTGTGCGGTGTGATGTGTGTGGTGTGATGCGTGTGGTATGATGCGGCGGTATGATGTGTACGGTGTGATATGTGTGGTATGATGCGTGCGATGTGATATGTGCGGTGTGATGTGTACGGTGTGATGCGTGTGGTATGATGCGTGTGGTATGATGTGTACGGTGTGATATGTGTAGTATGATGCGTGCGGTGTGATGCGCGTGGTGTGATCCGCGCGGTGTGATGCGTGCGGTGTGATGCGCGCGGTGTGATGCGTGTGGTGTGATGCATGCGGTATGATGTGTGTGGTATGCTGTGTGCGGTGTGATGTGTGTGGTATGATGCGTGCGGTGTGATGCGTGTGGTGTGATGCATGCGGTATGATGTGTGTGGTATGCTGTGTGCGGTGTGATGTGTGTGGTATGATGTGTGCGGTGTGATGCGTGCGGTGTGATGCGTGCGGTGTGATGCGCGCGGTGTGATGCGTGCGGTGTGATGTGTGCGGTGTGATGCGCGCGGTGTGATGCGTGCGGCCGAACCCGGCTGTGGCTGGTGTCGCCGTAGCGCCCGTTCAGGTTGGCCTTGTGGCAGTTGCGGTACCACCAGCCGCCCCGGTAGGACTCGGCGCAGTGCGGCGCTGCACCGTCATGGTCGCGGTCCGGCGTCGAGAAGGCCCGGCCGTGGTGGTACGACAGAGAGTCGCCTGCGGGTACACGCAGTGCCATGGTGGTGGTGTGGTGTGGTGGTGGTGTGGTGGTGGTGTGGTGGGGTGGTGGTGGGGTGGTGGTGGTGGTGGTGGTGGTGTGGTGGTGGTGTGGTGGTGGTGTGGTGGGGTGGTGGTGGGGTGGTGGTGGGGGTGGGGTGGTGGTGGGGTGGTGGTGGGGTGGTGTTGGCACCACAGAGAGTACCTGTGTGTGTGTGTGAGTACCTGTGTGTGTGTGTGAGTACCTGTGTATGTTTGTGAGTACCTGTGTGTGTTTGTGAGTACCTGTGTGTGTGTGTGAGTACCTGTGTGTGTGAGTACCTGTGTGTGTGTGTGTTTGAGTACCTGTGTGTGTGTGTGAGTACCTGTGTGTGTGAGTACCTGTGTGTGTTTGTGAGTACCTGTGTGTGTGTGAGTACCTGTGTGTGTGTGAGTACCTGTGTGTGTGAGTACCTGTGTGTGTGAGTACCTGTGTGTGTGTGAGTATCTGTGTGTGTGTGAGTACCTGTGTGTGTGAGTACCTGTGTGTGTGTGTGAGTACCTGTGTGTGTGTGAGTACCTGTGTGTGTGCGTGTGTACACCTGTGTGAGTACCTGTGTGTGTGAGTACCTGTGTGTGTGTGTGAGTACCTGTGTGTGTGTGAGTACCTGTGTGTGTGTGTGTGAGTACCTGTGTGTGTGTTTGCGAGTATCTGTGTGTGTGTGAGTACCTGTGTGTGTATGAGTACCTGTGTGAGTACCTGTGTGTGTGTGAGTACCTGTGTGAGTACCTGTGTGTGTGTGTGTGAGTACCTGTGTGCGTGAGTACCTGTGTGTGTGTGAGTACCTGTGTGTGTGTGTGAGTACCTGTGTGTGTGTGAGTACCTGTGTGTGTGTGAGTACCTGTGTGAGTACCTGTGTGTGTGTGTGAGTGCCTGTGTGCGTGAGTACCTGTGTGTGTGTGTGAGTACCTGTGTGTGTGTGTGAGTACCTGTGTGTGTGTGAGTACCTGTGTGTGTGTGTGAGTACCTGTGTGTGTGTGAGTACCTGTGTGAGTACCTGTGTGTGTGTGAGTACCTGGGTGAGTGTGTGAGTACCTGTGTGTGTGTGAGTACCTGTGTGTGTGTGTGAGTACCTGTGTGAGTACCTGTGTGTGTGTGAGTACCTGGGTGAGTGTGTGAGTACCTGTGTGTGTGTGAGTACCTGTGTGTGTGTGTGTGAGTACCTGTGTGTGTGAGTACCTGTGTGTGTGTGAGTACCTGTGTGTGTGAGTACCTGTGTGTGTGTGTGAGTACCTGTGTGTGTGAGTACCTGTGTGTGTGTGTGAGTACCTGTGTGTGTGAGTACCTGTGTGTGTGTGTGAGTACCTGTGTGTGTGTGTGAGTACCTGTGTGTGTGTGAGTACCTGTGTGTGTGTGTGTGAGTACCTGTGTGTGTGAGTACCTGTGTGTATGTGTGAGTACCTGTGTGTGTGAGTACCTGTGTGTGTGTGTGTGAGTACCTGTGTGTGTGAGTACCTGTGTGAGTACCTGTGTGAGTACCTGTGTGTGTGTGCGTGTGAGTACCTGTGTGTGTGAGTACCTGTGTGTGTGTGAGTACCTGTGTGTGTGTGTGAGTACCTGTGTGTGTGTGCGAGTACCTGTGTGAGCACCTGTGTGAGTACCTGTGTGTGTGTGTGTGAGTACCTGTGTGAGTACCTGTGTGTGTGTGAGTACCTGTGTGAGTACCTGTGTGTGTGTGCGTGTGAGTACCTGTGTGAGTACCTGTGTGTGTGAGTACCTGTGTGAGTACCTGTGTGAGTACCTGTGTGAGTACCTGTGTGTGTGTGTGAGAGTACCTGTGTGTGTGTGTGTGAGTACCTGTGTGAGTACCTGTGTGTGTGTGTGAGTACCTGTGTGAGTACCTGTGTGTGTGTGAGTACCTGTGTGAGTACCTGTGTGAGTACCTGTGTGTGTGTGTGTGAGTACCTGTGTGAGTACCTGTGTGAGTACCTGTGTGTGTGTGTGAGTACCTGTGTGAGTACCTGTGTGAGTACGTGTGTGTGTGTGAGTACCTGTGTGAGTACCTGTGTGAGTACCTGTGTGAGTACCTGTGTGTGTGTGAGTACCTGCGGTCCCGCTGTACTCCCCGATGCGGACGCGGTAGAGCGACTCAGCGTCTCCCACGGCAAAGCGGTCGTACTGGGCGAAGGCCGAAGCCTCCCCGTCGCCCAGGTCCACGCGCAGCTCATAGCGAGCCTGGGCCAACAGCGCGTGCAGCGAGCGCAGGCCTGGGGGGCGCGCCACACCGCGTCACACCACACCGCGTCACGCCACACCGCGTCACACCACGCCGCGTCACACCACACCGCGTCACACCACACGCCACACCACACCGCGTCACACCGCGTCACACCACACACCACACCGCGCAGGTCACACCACACCGCGCAGGTCACACCACACCGCGTCACGCCGCACTGCGTCACACTGCATCACACCGCACGAGGTCGCACCACGCCGCGTCACACCACACCATGCCACACCACGTCGCACCACACCGCGTCATACCGCGTCACACCGCACCAGGTCGCACCACACCGCGTCACGCCGCGTCACACTACGTCACGCCACACCGCGTCACGCCACATCGCATCACGCCACACCACGTGGAAGGTCAGGGTCAGGGTGAAGGTCGGGGTGAAGGTCAGGGTGAAGGTCGGGGTGAAGGTCAGGGTGAAGGTCAGGGTGAGGGTCAGGGTGAAGGTCGGGGTGAGGGTCAGGGTGAAGGTCGGGGTGAAGGTCAGGGTGAAGGTCAGGGTGAGGGTCAGGGTGAAGGTCATGGTCAGGGTGAAGGTCGGGGTGAAGGTCAGGGTGAAGGTCAGGGTGAGGGCCAGGATGAAGGTCATGGTCAGGGTGAAGGTCGGGGTGAAGGTCAGGGTGAAGGTCTGGGTGAGGGCCAGGATGAAGGTCATGGTCAGGGTGAAGGTCGGGGTGAAGGTCAGGGTGAAGGTCGGGGTGAGGGTCAGGGTGAAGGTCGGGGTGAAGGTCAGGGTGAAGGTCAGGGTGAGGGTCAGGGTGAAGGTCAGGGTGAGGGTCAGGATGAGGGTCATGGTCAGGGTGAAGGTCGGGGTGAAGGTCAGGGTGAGGGTCAGGGTGAGGGTCAGGGTGAGGGTCAGGGTGAAGGTCGGGGTGAAGGTCAGGGTGAAGGTCAGGGTGAAGGTCAGGGTGAGGGTCAGGGTGAAGGCGGGGGGGGTCAGGGTGAGGGTCAGGGTGAGAGTCAGGGTGAGAGTCAGGGTGAAGGTCAGGGTGAGAGTCAGGGTGAAGGTCAGGGTGAATGTCAGGGTGAAGGTCGGGGTGAAGGTCAGGGTGAGGGTCGGGGTGAAGGTCAGGGTGAAGGTCAGGGTGAGGGTCAGGGTGAAGGCGGGGGGGGGTCAGGGTGAGGGTCAGGGTGAGAGTCAGGGTGAAGGTCAGGGTGAAGGCGGGGGGGGGGGGGGGTCAGGGTGAGAGTCAGGGTGAAGGTCGGGGTGAAGGTCGGGGTGAAGGTCGGGGTGAAGGTCAGGGTGAAGGTCAGGGTGAGGGTCAGGGTGAGGGTCAGGGTGAAGGCCAGGGTGAAGGTCGGGGCGCAGGTCAGGGGTCGTGGGTCGGGGCTGACCCACCTATCCAGAACTCCCGTGTGGGCTCCCCGAAGCCTTCCTCGTACTCCTGCCAGCCCCGCTCAAAGTTCGTGAGCCCACTCTGCCTGCGCTGGAACACCTGGCGGGGGGGGGGGGGGGTGACAGTAGAAACATCGTCATGTCATCATCAGCAGAAGTAGTAGCAGCATCATCATCAGGAGAAGTAGTAGTAGCATCATCATCACCAGAAGTAGTAGTAGCAGCATCATCAGCAGAAGTAGTAGCAGCAGTAGCAGCAGTAGAATTAGCAGCATCATCAGCAGAAGTAGTAGTAGCAGCAGCAGCATCAGCAGTAGTAGTAGCAGCAGTAGCAGCAGCAGCATCAGCAGTAGTAGTAGCAGCAGTAGTAGCAGCAGTAGAAGTAGCAGTAGTAGTAGCATCATCATCAGCAGCAATAGTAGTAGGAGCAGCAGTAGCAGCAGTAGTAGTAGTAGCAGCATCATCAGCAGCAGTAGTAGTAGCATCATCATCAGCAGCAGAAGTAGCAGCAGCATCATCAACAGCAGCAGAAGTAGCAGCATCATCAGCAGCAGCAGAAGTAGTAGCAGCATCATCATCAGCAGAAGTAGTAGCAGCATCAGCAGAAGTAGTAGTAGCAGCATCAGCAGCAGCAGCAGAAGTAGTAGCAGCAGCATCATCAACAGCAGTAGTAGTCGGAGCAGCAGTAGCAGCAGTAGAAGTAGCAGCATCATCAGCAGAAGTAGTAGTAGCAGCAGCATCAGCAGTAGTAGTAGCAGCAGTAGTAGCAGTAGTAGTAGGAGCAGCAGTAGCAGCAGCATCAGTAGTAGCAGCATCATAAGCAGTTATAGTAGAAGCAGCAGTAGCAGCAGTAGAAGTAGCAGCAGCATCAGCAGCAGTAGCAGCAGTAGGAGTAGCATCATCATCAGCAGCAGTAGTAGTAGGAGCAGCAGTAGCAGCAGTAGTAGTAGTAGCAGCATCATCAGCAGCAGTAGTAGTAGTAGCATCATCAGCAGCAGCTAGTAGTAGCAGCAGCATCAGCAGCAGTAGAAGTAGCAGCATCATCAGCAGCAGTAGTAGTAGGAGCAGCAGTAGCAGCAGTAGTAGCAGCATCATCATCAGCAGCAGCAGTAGCAGCAGCAGTAGTAGTAACAGCAGCAGTAGCAACAGTAGAAGTAGCAGCATCATCAGCAGCAATAGTAGCAGCAGCATCAGTAGCAGCAGCAGTTGTAGTAGGAGCAGCAGTAGCAGCAGTAGAAGTAGCAGCATCATCAGCAGCAGTAGCAGCAGCAGCAGAAGTAGCAGCAGTAGTAGTAGCATCATTATCAGCAGGTACTAGTAGGAGCGGCAGTAGCAACAGTAGAAGTAGCAGCATCATCAGCAGCAGTAGTAGCAGCATCATCATCATCAGCAGCAGTAGTAGTAACAGTAGCAACAGTAGAAGTAGCAGCATCATCAGCAGCAGTAGTAGTAACAGCAGCAGTAGCAGCAGTAGTAGTATCAGTAGTAGATGGATCAGGAGAAGCATCATTCACCATCACGACCATCATCACGAGTGTTAAATCTAGCAGGCTACACGGAGGATCTTGGCGTGTGTGTCTGTGTGTCTTTGTCTTTGTGTCTGTGTGTGTGAGTGTGTCTGTGTGTGTGTCTGTGTGTGTGTGTCTGTGTGTGTCTGTGTGTGTGTGTCTGTGTGTGTGTCTGTGTGTGTCTGTGTGTGTGTCTGTGTGTGTGTGTGTGTGTCTGTGTGTGTGTCTGTGTGTGTCTGTGTGTGTGTCTGTGTGTGTCTGTGTGTGTGTCTGTGTGTGTCTGTGTGTGTGTCTGTGTGTGTCTGTGTGTGTGTCTGTGTGTGTGTCTGTGTGTGTCTGTGTGTGTATGTGTGTCTGTGTGTGTGTCTGTGTCTGTGTGTGTCTGTGTGTGTGTCTGTGTGTGTGTCTGTGTGTGTCTGTGTGTGTGTCTGTGTCTGTGTGTGTGTCTGTGCGTGCGTGCGAGGTACCGTCCAGCCTCCTCCGTCGGTGTGCATGTCACAGGTCACGTGCAGAGGCCTGGCAGGGTCACCCCGCAGGTAAATCACCACGTGCTCCCTCGCCGCCGCTCCCCTCTCCCCCGCCGCTGCTGCCCCCTCTGGCCACCGCTTCTCGGGGTCGTTGAGCAGCACCTGGGAGCAGTCACGTGGGAAGGGGTAGGGCAGCTGGGCTGCAAAGGGGCACAGAGACAAAGGTTCACCCACACCGCAGCGTAGCCTCTAACAGACTGTCGGGGCAAGTGCTGTTAGATAGCGAGTAGCAGCTGTGAGAGACAGACAAAGATCCCCCGCATAGCCTCTAACAGACTCTAGGGGCAAGTGCTGTTAGTTAGCGAGTAGCAGCTGTGAGACACAGACAAAGATCCCCCGCGAAGCCTCTAACAGACTGTAGGGGCAAGTGCTGTTAGTTAGCGAGTAGCAGCTGTGAGACACAGACAAAGATCCCCCGCGTAGCCTCTAACAGACTCTAGGGGCAAGTGCTGATAGTTAGCGAGTAGCAGCTGTGAGACACAGACAAAGATCCCCCGCGTAGCCTCTAACAGACTGTAGGGGCAAGTGCTGTTAGTTAGCGAGTAGCAGCTGTGAGACACAGACAAAGATCCCCCGCGTAGCCTCTAACAGACTGTAGGGGCAAGTGCTGTTAGTTAGCGAGTAGCAGCTGTGAGACACAGACAAAGATCCCCCGCGTAGCCTCTAACAGACTGTAGGGGCAAGTGCTGATAGTTAGCGAGTAGCAGCTGTGAGACACAGACAAAGATCCCCCGCGTAGCCTCTAACAGACTGTAGGGGCAAGTGCTGTTGTTGGCGAGTAGCAGCTGTGAGACACAGACAAAGATCCCCCGCGTAGCCTCTAACAGACTGTAGGGGCAAGTGCTGTTAGTTAGCGAGTAGCAGCTGTGAGACACAGACAAAGATCCCCCGCGTAGCATCTAACAGACTGTAGGGGCAAGTGCTGTTAGTTAGCGAGTAGCAGCTGTGAGACACAGACAAAGATCCCCCGCGTAGACTCTAACAGACTGTAGGGGCAAGTGCTGATAGTTAGCGAGTAGCAGCTGTGAGAGAAAGACAAAGATCCCCCGCGTAGCCTCTAACAGACTGTAGGGGCAAGTGCTGTTAGTTAGCGAGTAGCAGCTGTGAGACACAGACAAAGATCCCCCGCGTAGCCTCTAACATACTGTAGGGGCAAGTGCTGTTAGTTAGCGAGTAGCAGCTGTGAGACACAGACAAAGATCCCCCGCGTAGCCTCTAACAGACTGTAGGGGCAAGTGCTGTTAGTTAGCGAGTAGCAGCTGTGAGACACAGACAAAGATCCCCCGCGTAGCCTCTAACAGACTGTAGGGGCAAGTGCTGTTAGTTAGCGAGTAGCAGCTATGAGACACAGACAAAGATCCCCCGCGTAGCCTCTAACAGACTGTAGGGGCAAGTGCTGTTAGTTAGCGAGTAGCAGCTGTGAGACACAGACAAAGATCCCCCGCGTAGCCTCTAACAGACTGTAGGGGCAAGTGCTGATAGTTAGCGAGTAGCAGCTGTGAGACACAGACAAAGATCCCCCGCGTAGCCTCTAACAGACTGTAGGGGCAAGTGCTGATAGTTAGCGAGTAGCAGCTGTGAGACACAGACACAGATCCCCCGCGTAGCCTCTAACAGACTGTAGGGGCAAGTGCTGTTAGATAGCGAGTAGCAGCTGTGAGAGAAAGACAAAGATCCCCCGCGTAGCCTCTAACAGACTGTAGGGGCAAGTGCTGATAGTTAGCGAGTAGCAGCTGTGAGAGACAGACAAAGATCCCCCGCGTAGCCTCTAACAGACTGTAGGGGCAAGTGCTGTTAGTTAGCGAGTAGCAGCTGTGAGACACAGACAAAGATCCCCCGCGTAGCCTCTAACAGACTGTAGGGGCAAGTGCTGTTCGTTAGCGAGTAGCAGCTGTGAGACACAGACAAAGATCCCCCGCGTAGCCTCTAACAGACTGTAGGGGCAAGTGCTGTTAGTTAGCGAGTAGCAGCTGTGAGACACAGACAAAGATCCCCCGCGTAGCCTCTAACAGACTGTAGGGGCAAGTGCTGATAGTTAGCGAGTAGCAGCTGTGAGACAGACAAAGATCCCCCGCGTAGCCTCTAACAGACTGTAGGGGCAAGTGCTGTTAGTTAGCGAATAGCAGCTGTGAGACACAGACAAAGATCCCCCGCGTAGCCTCTAACAGACTGTAGGGGCAAGTGCTGTTAGTTAGCGAGTAGCAGCTGTGAGACACAGACAAAGATCCCCCGCGTAACCTCTAACAGACTGTAGGGGCAAGTGCTGATAGTTAGCGAGTAGCAGCTGTGAGACACAGACAAAGATCCCCCGCGTAGCCTCTAACAGACTGTAGGGGCAAGTGCTGTTAGTTAACGAGTAGCAGCTGTGAGACACAGACAAAGATCCCCCGCGTAGCCTCTAACAGACTGTAGGGGCAAGTGCTGTTAGTTAGCGAGTAGCAGCTGTGAGACACAGACAAAGATCCCCCGCGTAGCCTCTAACAGACTGTAGGGGCAAGTGCTGTTAGTTAGCGAGTAGCAGCTGTGAGAGACAGACAAAGATCCCCCGCGTAGCCTCTAACAGACTGTAGGGGCAAGTGCTGTTAGTTAGCGAGTAGCAGCTATGAGACACAGACAAAGATCCCCCGCGTAGCCTCTAACAGACTGTAGGGGCAAGTGCTGTTAGTTAGCGAGTAGCAGCTGTGAGACACAGACAAAGATCCCCCGCGAAGCCTCTAACAGACTGTAGGGGCAAGTGCTGTTAGTTAGCGAGTAGCAGCTGTGAGAGACAGACAAAGATCCCCCGCGTAGCCTCTAACAGACTGTAGGGGCAAGTGCTGTTAGTTAGCGAGTAGCAGCTGTGAGACACAGACAAAGATCCCCCGCGTAGCCTCTAACAGACTGTAGGGGCAAGTGCTGTTAGTTAGCGAGTAGCAGCTGTGAGACACAGACAAAGATCCCCCGCGTAGCCTCTAACAGACTGTAGGGGCAAGTGCTGTTAGTTAACGAGTAGCAGCTGTGAGACACAGACAAAGATCCCCCGCGTAGCCTCTAACAGACTGTAGGGGCAAGTGCTGTTAGTTAGCGAGTAGCAGCTGTGAGACACAGACAAAGATCCCCCGCATAGCCTCTAACAGACTGTAGGGGCAAGTGCTGTTAGTTAGCGAGTAGCAGCTGTGAGACACAGACAAAGATCCCCCGCGTAGCCTCTAACAGACTGTAGGGGCAAGTGCTGTTAGTTAGCGAGTAGCAGCTGTGAGACACAGACAAAGATCCCCCGCGTAGCCTCTAACAGACTGTAGGGGCAAGTGCTGTTAGTTAGCGAGTAGCAGCTGTGAGACACAGACAAAGATCCCCCGCGTAGCCTCTAACAGACTGTAGGGGCAAGTGCTGTTAGTTAGCGAGTAGCAGCTGTGAGACACAGACAAAGATCCCCCGTGTAGCCTCTAACAGGCTGTAGGGGCAAGTGCTGATAGTTAGCGAGTAGCAGCTGTGAGACACAGACAAAGATCCCCCGTGTAGCCTCTAACAGGCTGTAGGGGCAAGTGCTGTTAGTTAGCGAGTAGCAGCTGTGAGACACAGACAAAGATCCCCCGCGTAGCCTCTAACAGACTGTAGGGGCAAGTGCTGTTAGTTAGCGAGTAGCAGCTGTGAGACACAGACAAAGATCCCCCGCGTAGCCTCTAACAGACTGTAGGGGCAAGTGCTGTTAGTTAGCGAGTAGCAGCTGTGAGACACAGACAAAGATCCCCCGCGTAGCCTCTAACAGACTGTAGGGGCAAGTGCTGTTAGTTAGCGAGTAGCAGCTGTGAGACACAGACAAAGATCCCCCGTGTAGCCTCTAACAGACTGTAGGGGCAAGTGTTGTTAGCTAGCAGCTCACACACAGACACAGACAAAGATCCCCCGTGTAGCCTCTAACAGGCTGTAGGGGCAAGTGCTGTTAGTTAGCGAGTAGTAGCAGCACTCAGTGAGGGCTGCCGGCACTGTGGCACACGCAGAGGGGGTGGGTGGCCAGCAACCACCACGCACGCCCGGCCGCCTTTGTCTCCCCCGGTGCCAGCGGTGTCAAGGTCGGCCTCTGTGGAGGAGGAGGCTCGTGAAGGACGCTAGAGGGCAGTGCCAGGCTAGGTGCACTGCGAGGCTACCGGGCGGTTGGAGGCAGTCGCCCTCCGGCAACAGCGGAGGGGCGGAGGAGCGACGCTCACAACAACGAGCGGAGCGCCGGGCGGGTAAAACGCAGCGAGTTGGCACAGTAGGGGGCACAGGTGGTGCATCGGCCACTCATCTCAGTCAGTCGACCCGTGGCACCTGCAGGGTCTGTCCCGTGGCCTCCTCCTGCACCTAGCCTGGCACAGCAGTTAACTCATGGCGCCCGTGACCTCCTCCTGCACCTAGCCTGGCACGGCAGTTAACTCATGGCACCTGCTGGGTCTGTCCCGTGACCGCCTCCTCCTGCACCTAGCCTGGCACAGCAGTCAACCCACGGCACCTGCAGGGTCTGTCCCGTGGCCTCCTCCTGCACCTAGCCTGGCACGGCAATCAACTCACTGCACCTGCTGGGTCTGTCCCGTGACCTCCTCCTGCACCTAGCCTGGCACGGCAGTCAACCCATGGCGCCCGTGACCTCCTCCTGCACCTAGCCTGGCACGGCAGTCAACCCACGGCACCACCCGCTGTGTCTGTCTCCGCATGCCCCCTCCCCCCGTGGTGGCCGTGACGAGGTGAGCGAGCACCTGTGACGAGGTGGCTGCGTGCGGGCTGGCTGCGCGTGCCCCCGAGTGACGAGGTGGCGGTGACGAGGAGGCTGTAGTGAGTGTTGGGCCGCAGCTTCGTCAGCTGCACCCACGGAGTGGAGGCAGGAATCCTCAACTCCTGGGACTCCTGGGGGGGGGGGCACGGGGGGGGAGGGGCCACGGGGGGGGGGGAGGGGCCACGGGGGGGAGGGGCCACGGGGGGCACCAGGGGGGAGGGGCCACGGGAGGTGTTTAGTGGTGGTTGTGTTAGTGGTGATGGTGGTTGTGGTTGTGGTGGTGGAACCTCGTGCGTGTCATTGTGGTTGTGTTAGTGGTTGTGTTAGTAATGTTGGTGGTGGTTGTAGTTGTGGTGGTGGTTGTGGTTGTGGTTGTAGTTGTGGTGGTTGTGGTGGTGGTGGTTGTGGTGGTGGTGGCACCTCGTGTGTGTCGTTGTGGTAGTGTTAGTGGTTGTGTTAGTGGTTGTGATTGTGTTAGTGGTGGTGGTTGTAGTGGTGGTTGTAGTTGTGGTGGTGGTGTCACCTCGTGTGTGTCGTTGTGTTAGTGGTTGTAGTTGTGGTGGTTGTAGTGGTGGTTGTAGTGGTGTCACCTCGTGCGTGTCGTTGTGATAGTGGTTGTGTTAGTAGTGGTTGTAGTTGTAGTAGTTGTGGTGGTGGTGTCACCTCGTGTGTGTCGTTGTGGTAGTGGTTGTAGTTGTGGTGGTTGTAGTGGTGGTTGTAGTTGTGGTGGTGGTGTCACCTCGTGCGTGTCGTTGTGGTAGTGGTTGTGTTAGTAGTGGTGGTGGTGGTTGTAGTTGTGGTAGTGTTAGTGGTAGTGGTTGTAGTGGTGGTAGTTGTGGTGGTGGTGTCACCTCGTGCGTGTCGTTGTGGTTGTGTTAGTGGTTGTGTTAGTGGTTGTAGTTGTGGTGGTTGTAGTGGTGGTTGTAGTTGTGGTGGTTGGTGGTGGTGTCACCTCGTGCGTGTCGTTGTGGTAGTGTTAGTGGTTGTTGTGGTGGTGGTTGTAGTAGTGGTAGTGGTTGTGTTAGTAGTGGTGGTGGTGGTTGTAGTTGTGGTTGTGTTAGTGGTTGTAGTTGTAGTAGTTGTGGTGGTGGTGTCACCTCGTGTGTGTCGTTGTGGTAGTGGTTGTAGTTGTGGTGGTTGTAGTGGTGGTTGTAGTTGTGGTGGTGGTGTCACCTCGTGCGTGTCGTTGTGGTAGTGGTTGTAGTTGTGGTGGTTGTAGTGGTGGTTGTAGTTGTGGTGGTGTCACCTCGTGTGTGTTGTTGTGGTAGTGGTTGTGTTAGTAGTGGTTGTAGTGGTGGTTGTAGTTGTGGTGGTGTCACCTCGTGTGTGTCGTTGTGTTAGTGGTTGTAGTTGTGGTGGTTGTAGTGGTGGTTGTAGTAGTGGTTGGTGGTGGTGTCACCTCGTGTGTGTCGTTGTGGTAGTGTTAGTGGTTGTTGTGGTGGTGGTTGTAGTAGTGTTAGTGGTTGTGTTAGTAGTGGTGGTGGTGGTTGTAGTTGTGGTTGTGTTAGTGTTAGTGGTTGTAGTTGTGGTAGTTGTGGTGGTGGTGTTACCTCGTGTGTGTCGTTGTGGTAGTGGTTGTGTTAGTGGTTGTGGTGGTGGTGGTTGTAGTAGTGTTAGTGGTTGTGTTAGTGGTTGTAGTGGTGGTGGTGGTGGTGGTTGTGTTAGTGGTTGTAGTTGTGGTTGGTGGTGGTGTCACCTCGTGCGTGTCGTTGTGGTAGTGGTTGTGTTAGTGGTTGTAGTGGTGGTGGTGGTGGTGGTTGTGTTAGTGGTTGTGTTAGTGGTTGTGTTAGTGGTTGTGTTAGTGGTTGTTGTTGTGGTTGTAGTTGTGGTTGGTGGTGGTGTCACCTCGTGCGTGTCGTTGCTGGCCTCGTAGGCGACGCTGAACTCGGTGGCGTTCCCCAGAGGCGGCTTCCAGCTGACGCTGGCAGCCCAGGGGGTCACCCCACTCACACGCACACTGCGGGGGGGGTCCAGGCCTGGGGGGGGCGAGTGGGGGGCGGTGAGGGTGAAGGGAGGGGAGAGTGGGGAGAGGAGTGGGGGGAGGGGGGCGAGTGGGGGAGGAGGAGGGGGGGGGAGTGGGGGGAGGGGGGCGAGTGGGGGGAGAGTCCAGTGGGGGGGGGGCAAGTGGGGATGAGGGGAGGTGGGGGGGGGAGGTGGGGGGGGAGGTGGGGGGGAGGGGGGCACAGCAGTACAAACCATAACAGACGGCACCTCCCACATCTAATGCGGAAGAAGTTCAACAAACATATACACTACAATGCACTCCACTAAAATACACTATACACTACACTAAAATACACTATACACTACACTAAAATACACTATACACTACACTAAAATACACTACAATGCACTACACTAAAATACACTATACACTACACTAAAATACACTATACACTACACTAAAATACACTATACACTACACTAAAATACACTACAATGCACTCCACTAAAATACACTATACACTACACTAAAATACACTATACACTACACTAAAATACACTATACACTACACTAAAATACACTATACACTACACTAAAATACACTATACACTACACTAAAATACACTATACACTACACTAACATACACTATACACTACACTAAAATACACTATACACTACACTAAAATACACTATACACTCCACTAAAATACACTATACACTCCACTAAAATACACTATACACTCCACTAAAATACACTATACACTACACTAAAATACACTATACACTACACTAAAATACACTACACTAAAATACACTATACACTACACTAAAATACACTATACACTACACTAAAATACACTATACACTACACTAAAATACACTATACACTACACTAAAATACACTATACACTACACTAAAATACACTATACACTCCACTAAAATACACTATACACTCCACTAAAATACACTATACACTACACTAAAATACACTATACACTACACTAAAATACACTACACTAAAATACACTATACACTACACTAAAATACACTATACACTACACTAAAATACACTATACACTACACTAACATACACTATACACTACACTAAAATACACTATACACTACACTAAAATACACTATACACTACACTAAAATACACTATACACTCCACTAAAATACACTATACACTACACTAAAATACACTATACACTACACTAAAATACACTATACACTACACTAAAATACACTATACACTACACTAAAATACACTATACACTACACTAAAATACACTATACACTACACTAAAATACACCACAATGCACTCCACTAAAATACACTATACACTACACTAAAATACACTATACACTACACTAAAATACACTATACACTACACTAAAATACACTATACACTACACTAAAATACACTATACACTACACTAAAATACACTATACACTACACTAAAATACACTATACACTACACTAAAATACACTATACACTACACTAACATACACTATACACTACACTAAAATACACTATACACTACACTAAAATACACTATACACTACACTAAAATACACTATACACTCCACTAAAATACACTACACACTACACTAAAGTACACTATACACTACACTAAAATACACTATACACTACACTAAAATACACTATACACTACACTAAAATACACTATACACTACACTAAAATACACTATACACTACACTAGAATACACTACACTAAAATACACTATACACTACACTAAAATACACTATACACTACACTAAAATACACTATACACTACACTAAAATACACTATACACTACACTAAAATACACCACAATGCACTCCACTAAAATACACTATACACTCCACTAAAATACACTATACACTACACTAAAATACACTATACACTACACTAAAATACACTATACACTACACTAAAATACACTATACACTACACTAAAATACACTATACACTACACTAAAATACACTATACACTACACTAAAATACACTATACACTACACTAAATACACTATACACTACACTAAAATACACTATACACTACACTAAATACACCACAATGCACTCCACTAAAATACACTATACACTCCACTAAAATACACTACACACTACACTAAAATACACTATACACTACACTAAAATACACTATACACTACACTAAAATACACTATACACTACACTAAAATACACTATACACTACACTAAAATACACTATACACTACACTACAATACACCATACACTACACTAAAATACACTACACTAAAATACACTATACACTACACTAAAATACACTATACACTACACTAAAATACACTATACACTACACTAACATACACTATACACTACACTAAAATACACTATACACTACACTAAAATACACTATACACTACACTAAAATACACTATACACTACACTAAAATACACTATACACTACACTAAAATACACTATACACTACACTAAAATACACTATCCACTACACTAGAATACACTATACACTACACTAAAATACACTATACACTACACTAAAATACACTATACACTACACTAAAATACACTATACACTACACTAAAATACACTATACACTACACTAAAATACACTATACACTACACTAAAATACACTATACACTACACTAAAATACACTATACACTACACTAAAATACACTATACACTACACTAAAATACACCATACACTACACTAAAATACACCATACACTACACTACAATACACCATACACTACACTAAAATACACTATACACTACACTAAAATACACTATACACTACACTAAAATACACTATACACTACACTAAAATACACTATACACTACACTAACATACACTATACACTACACTAAAATACACTATACACTACACTAAAATACACTATACACTACACTAAAATACACTATACACTACACTAAAATACACTATACACTACACTAAAATACACTATACACTACACTAAAATACACTATACACTACACTAAAATACACTATACACTACACTAAAATACACTATACACTACACTAAAATACACCACAATGCACTCCACTAAAATACACAATACACTCCACTAAAATACACTACACACTACACTAAAATACACTATACACTACACTAAAATACACTATACACTACACTAAAATACACTATACACTACACTAAAATACACTATACACTACACTACAATACACCATACACTACACTAAAATACACTATACACTACACTAAAATACACTATACACTACACTAAAATACACTATACACTACACTAAAATACACTATACACTACACTAACATACACTATACACTACACTAAAATACACTATACACTACACTAAAATACACTATACACTACACTAAAATACACTATACACTACACTAAAATACACTATACACTAAAATACACTATACACTACACTAAAATACACTATACAGTGCACTAAAATACACTATACACTACACTAAAATACACTATACACTACATTACAATACACCATACACTACATTACAATACACCATACACTACATTACAATACACCATACACTACATTACAATACACCATACACTACATTACAATACACCATACACTACATTACAATACACCATACACTACATTACAATACACCATACACTACACTAAAATACACCATACACTACACTAAAATACACTACACACTCCACTAAAATACACTACACACTACACTAAAATACACTATACACTACACTAAAATACACCATACACTACATTACAATACACCATACACTACATTACAATACACCATACACTACAATACGCGATAATAAACGATACCCTACGACACGCCACACACTACATTATACACTATGCTAAACTACGTTACACTATACACCGCACCACACATTGCAACAACCAAAAAAAACACAACGGGAGCAACGTTTGTGCCCCCCGCAAGCCAATCGGGCCATCTTTGCCCGCGAGGGCCCTGGGGCCCCGCGCTGCGTACCGGCGGTGAAGGCGGCCAGGCCGGGGCCGCTGCCCGCGAGGGCCCTGGGGCCCCGCGCTGCGTACCGGTGGTGAAGGCGGCCAGGCCGGGGCCGCTGCGTGCGAGGGCCCTGGGGCCCCGCGCTGCGTACCGGTGGTGAAGGCGGCCACGCTGGGGCTGCTGCGTGCGAGGCCCCGCACCGCCATGGCCGTCAGCTCGTAGCGGGTGAGCGGCGACAGGTGAGTGACGGTGAACCACGTGGAGCGCCCTCCTAGCAGGGCGCTGCGGGCAGCGCCCGCGCGGCCTGCAGCAGCGGCAGCATCGGTAGTGGCATCATCATCAGCATCATCATCGGTAGTGGCATCATCAGCATCATCAGCATAATCGTAGTGGCATCATCATCGGTAGTGATATCATCATCGGTAGTGGCATCATCATCATAATCAGTAGTGGCATCATCATCGGTAGTGGCATCATCATCAGCATCATCAGCATCATCGTCGGTAGTGGCATCATCATCAGCATCATCGATAGTAGTATCATCGGTAGTGGCATCATCATCAGCATCATCGATAGTAGTATCATCAGCATCATCATCGGTAGTGATATCAGCATCAGCATCATCGATAGTAGTATCATCAGCATCATCATCGGTAGTGATATCATCATCTGTAGTGGCATCATCATCATCGTCATGATCAGTAGTATCATCAGCATCATCATCAGTAGTGGCATCATCATCAGCATCATCGATAGTAGTATCATCAGCATCATCATCGGTAGTGATATCATCAGCATCGTGATGATCAGTAGTAGCATCATCATAATCAGTAGTGGCATCATCATCATCAGTAGTGGCATCATCATCATCAGTAGTGGCATCATCATCATCATCAATAGTGGCATCATCATCATCAGCATCATCAGTAGTGGCATCATCATCAGTATTGGCATCATCATCATCAGTAGTAGTATCACCAGCATCATCAGCAGCATCATCATCAGTGTCATCAGTAGCAGCATCATCAGCAGCATCTTCAGCAGTATCATCAGTAGCAGCATCATCATCAATAGTAGCAGCAGCATCATCAGTAGTAGCATCATCAGCATGGCTGTGTGGCTGTGTGGGTGTGTGTGGGTATGCAGTCCGGCAAAATCAACCCTCTACCTTCTCGTTTGTGCCGGACGGCCACGCTGTGGTGGGCAGTGCCGTGGGGGGAGGGCCAATTCCGATTGGCCATTCCCCTCGTGGCGTCTGTGACCACCACAGCGGCCAAACGGGGGCTCTGGACGGGTGCGAGGGGCTGGTAACCCCTCCACCTTCAATTAATTACCGTACCAAACCACGACTGAAAAATGGAATTAATAAGCTTGTGCCGGAGGCCCCAGGGGGTCAGGCGTCTATGACGTCTCCTGGCCAAACCCCATTTGGCGGAGCCAGCAGACTGAATCCTTACCCTCTGGGCTCCTCCAGAAATTTGATAAACCATTTCGGGTCTTAATTGATTGTTCACGCTTACGGTGGCTTTCAGACCGCATCCATTATTTTCGTCTCCCCGCTCCTCTTTTCCGAACATAGATGGACTCGTCCATCTGAACAAACTGTCAAATCGCTCTCCGCGGTGCTAACGTTAAAAAGAAACCGGCACTTTTTTCAAATTTTCTTGCTGTGGTTTTCACACCTGATGATGATTGCTTGCTTGTGTTGCAGTCGAAACGTCGTGAGAATTTTATTGTTTTATATATTCTTATTTGTTTTATTTTATTGTTTCCCTTCTACGTGGTGACTTTACCGAAAGAACCAAGAATAACAAAAAAAACCACTACGTGTGGCCACGTGCAATTTTCGAAAACTCACTGCGGAGAGGCTGCCACTCCTCTGTCGGGAGCTGGACCGGTACTCTCCGTGGTATTCAGGAGGTCCGGTGGACCGGCTCTGGCTCCTGCCACCATGAGGCGTGGACAGTCCTCTACTCGGGGCAGGAGACTGAGTGGTGGTCGCGGGTTGCCGAGGAGATGGAGTCTGCCTCAGTGGCCCGCGATCACAAATCTCTATTTAACTCCATCAAAAAAGTAACCTGCAGCGCCACACCTATTACCATCATTAGGGGAAAGAACGGTGATCCAATCTCTCACCCCCAGGAACAGGTTTGCAGATTTGCTGAGCATTTCTGTGAGGTCCTGGGGGAGGGGAAATCCCTCAGCCAGGAAAACATCGTGGCACAAAGTGGGGATGACCCTGCCGAGGCTGTGATGCCTCAAATATTGGAAGAAGTCACCCCCTGTGAGTGGCTGGCTGAGGTGCCATCTGTTGAGGAAGTACTGAAGGCGATCTGGAGTCTGAGACCAGGAAAGGCACCGGGAACAGGTTATCTCCCAAGTGAAATGCTGAGGGAGGGTGGCGTTTGTGCACTGACTGCCCTATATGACATCATAACAACAGTCTGGACCACTGGACGGGTTCCGCAGGATTGGAAGGATGCCCTGGTAGTCCCCCTCTTTAAGAAGGGGAACCGCACAGACTGTAACAACTACGGGGGCATCTCACTCCTCAGTGTGCCGGGAAAGGTCCTGGCAAGGATTATTCAACATCGCCTTGCCAGGCACGCTGAGGAGAGGCTTGCAGAGCCCCAATGCGGTTTCAGGAAAGGGCGGTCCTGCACAGATGCCATATTTTCTGTCCGTCTGCTACAGCAGAGGTGTAGGGAATTCCAACAAGACCTACATCTCTGCTTTATTGACCTGGTCAAGGCCTATGATACCATCAGTAGGCCTAGGCTCTGGGTTGTTCTTCGTGCTTTTGGAGTCCCTGACCCCCTGCTTACGATCATTAAGGACCTTCATGATGGTGAGCGGGCCCGGGTAAAGCTACGTGGCCGGGAGTCAGAGCCATTCCCTGTACACCTTGGGGTGCGACAGGGATGTCCTCTGGCTTCAGATCTTCTCGGCCATGGTCATTCCCTCCCTTCTCTACGCTTGCGAAACGTGGACGCCCTTAATGTAACATCTTCGTCGGTTAGAAACATTTAGGCTAGCCTGCCTACGATCCATCATGGGTTTAACCAGGCTGGATTGTGTGAGGAGCTCACAAATCCTTGAAAGATCTGGGCAAGGTCCCATCGGTGAGCTCCTCCGGCAGGCAAGGCTGCGATGGCTGGGTCATGTAGCCCGCATGCCCAAACAGCTTTTGTTCGGCCGGATTGAGGGGGCTAGACGGGCGCGGCACGGGCTAGAGAAGAGATGGAGTGATGTGGTACAGGAGGATGTGGAGCTGAGTGGACTTGCCGATGACTGGTACCAGCAGTGTCAAGATCGGCCTCTGTGGAGGAGGCTCGTGAAGGATGCTACTGGGCAGTTGGAGGCAGTCGCCCTCCAACAACAACGGAGGGCGGAGGAGCGATGCTCACAACAACGAGCGGAGCGCCGGGTGGCTAAAGCACAGCAGGTTGGCACAGTAGGGGGCACAGGTGGTGCATCAGCCAGTCATCTCAGTCAGTCGACCCGTGGCACCTGGGTCTGCCCAGTGACCTCCTGCCAGCGGGCGTTCGACACTTCACGTGGCCTCACGGTGCACATAGCCTGGCACAAGCGTCGTGGTGACGTCACCGCCACTTAGTGGCGAATGGCGGTTGTTGTTGTTGTTGTTGTGTGTAGGTGTGTGTGTGTAGGTGTGTGTGTGTGTAGGTCTGTTTGTGTGTAGGTGTGTGTGTGTGTAGGTGTGTGTGTGTGTAGGTGTGTGTCTGTGTTTGTGTGTGTGTAAGTGTGTGTGTGTGTGTAGGTGTGTGTGTAGGTGTGTGTGTGTGTAGGTGTATGTGTGTGTAGGTGTGTGTGTGTAGGTGTGTGTGTAGGTGTGTTTGTGTGTCTGTGTGTGTGTGTAGGTGTGGGTGTGTGTGTGTAGGTGTGTGTGTGTCTGTGTGTGTGTGTGTGTGCTCACCTCCAACGTTGGGTGCGTACCACGTGACCCTCACCCCCGTGACCCGTGGGCTCGGGGGTGGCCACGTGACCCTGGCGGCCGTGGGTGACACTTTGGTCACGGTCAGAGCCCCCAGGGGTTGCAGCGCTAACGGGCGGGGGGGGGGGGGGTGGTGCAGCAGTGGAGAGGGCACGCACACAGGCAAAGATCACCCGCGTAGCCTCGGCAGACTGCAGGGGCAAGTGCTGTTAGCGAGTAGCAGCGGCAGCGCCTATGCAGGCTGCAGGCCTTGGACAGCGCCACGCCCGGTCGCCTTTGTCTCCCCCCAACACACACGGCACCTCACCTGGTAACTCGCTTGAGGCTGAGTCGACCTAGGGGGCGACCTAGGTTTTCGAACTCGGGCCTCAGCCGGGTTCGGGGTTCGTAGCGGCGCTAACCGCTGCGCCACCGCTCCCCACCACAACCACCGACAACCACCACAACCACCACCACCACCACAACCACCACCACTGCCACAACCACCACCACCACCACAACAACCACCACTGCACGTTCATTCCCCCCCCACCCACCGCCCCCGCCAACACGTACCTAGCCTGGCACCACCACCGCGGTGCCCCATCGTTACCTGTGAAGAGGCGGAGGGGGGGCGACCTGGGTAGGGCCGGTGGGGGGGGGCTCCCCCCTCCACCTCCTCGTGCGGCCGCTCCCTGCGACACCCCCAACAGCAGCACCTCGTAAAGAGCTCCCTCGGTCAGCTCCGTGACGACGGCCGAGCGAGCCCCGGCCGGGGCCCAAAGCTCCCTCCATCCCGCGTCGTCGCCGCGGTTACCGCCATCGCCGCCCCCGTTGCCACCGTTACCGTCGCCGCCCTCCTCCCGTTCTCCGCCGGAGGCCCGGCCCGCTCCGTGCCCGGCCACGCCCACTCCGAGCTTGGCCACGCCCGCTCCAAGCTTGGCCACGCCCGCTCCGTGCCCGGCCACGCCCGCTCCGTGCCCGGCCACGCCCGCTCCGTGCTTGGCCACGCCCGCTCCGTGCCCGGCCACGCCCGCTCCGTGCCCGGCCACGCCCGCGCTCTTGCCGGCCCCTCCCACTTTGCCGGCGGCGCCGCCCGCTTCGGCGCCTGCCCCGCCCACTTCCTCGCCCGCCCACTCCTCGCCCTCGTAGACCGCGCGGTAGCGCACTGTGTACGAGTCGAAGGACAGCTCCCCCGGGAACCAGGAGACGCGGAACGACGTCGCCGTCACGTCGGACGCCGCCAGGCCGATCTGCGCGGCGGCGGCCGCCGATGAGCCGGGCGCGGGCGGAGGCCCGGTGCTGGCCGGAGGGGCGGCGGCGGCGGCGGCGGCGGCGGCGGCGGCGGCGGCGGACGGGCGCGGAGTCGACGGCGGTCGTGGCCGGTGGCGCTGGGGCTTCTCCGACGAGGCTTTCGTCACGGTTTTCGAAAGTCGCGGGAGGCGGAGGAGGGGGAGGAGGAGGAGGAGGAGGAAGAGAGGAGAGGAAGATTCACCGAGACCCAGAGACTCACCACACAGAGACCCATAGACTCACCATACAGAGACCCATAGACTCACCATACAGAGACCCATAGACTCACCACACAGAGACCCAGAGACTCACCACACAGAGACCCATAGACTCACCACACAGAGACCCACAGACTCACCACACAGAGATCCACAGACTCACCACACAGAGACCCATAGACTCACCACACAGAGACCCACAGACTCACCACACAGAGACCCACAGACTCACCACACAGAGACCCACAGACTCACCACACAGAGACCCATAGACTCACACACAGAGACCCACAGACTCACCACACAGAGACCCACAGACTCACCACACAGAGACCCATAGACTCACCACACAGAGACCCACAGACTCACCACACAGAGACCCATAGACTCACACACAGAGACCCACAGACTCACCACACAGAGACCCATAGACTCACCATACAGAGACCCATAGACTCACCATACAGAGACCCATAGACTCACCACACAGAGACCCAGAGACTCACCACACAGAGACCCATAGACTCACCATACAGAGACCCACAGACTCACCACACAGAGATCCACAGACTCACCACACAGAGACCCATAGACTCACCACACAGAGACCCACAGACTCACCACACAGAGACCCACAGACTCACCACACAGAGACCCACAGACTCACCACACAGAGACCCATAGACTCACACACAGAGACCCACAGACTCACCACACAGAGACCCACAGACTCACCACACAGAGACCCATAGACTCACCACACAGAGACCCACAGACTCACCACACAGAGACCCATAGACTCACACACAGAGACCCACAGACTCACCACACAGAGACCCACAGACTCATCACGCAGAGAGACCCACAGACTCACCACACAGAGACCTACAGACTCACCACACAGAGACCCATAGACTCACCACACAGAGACCCACAGACTCACCACACAGAGACCCACAGACTCACCACACAGAGACCCACAGACTCACCACACAGAGACCCACAGACTCACCACAGACTCACCACACAGAGACCCACAGACTCACCACACAGAGACCCACAGACTCACCACACAGAGACCCACAGACTCACCACACAGAGACCCACAGACTCACCACACAGAGACCCACAGACTCACCACAGACTCACCACACAGAAACCCACAGACACGTTGGTTAGAGCGAGCGACAGAACAGTGCTGGGGGAGCGAGCGAGCGAAGGGATGGAGGGAGCAATGCCGGGCAGGGTTGCAGGATCATTCCGAGATGGGAGGAGGAGGAGCTGGAGGAGACTTTCTTGGCGGCGGTGGTGGTGGCGGTGGTGGAGTTGGTTGCGGTGGACGCATGCGTTGTGGTTTGGGGCAGGTAGCGTCATGCAGTCGCCCATTCCGGGAAAAGCGTTCAGCTCACTGATTCACCCACCTACCCATCCACTCACTCACCCACCACTCACTCACTCACCCACCTACCCATCCACTCACTCACCCACCTACCCACCACTCACTCACTCACCACTCACTCACTCACTCACCCACCACTCACTCACCCAGCTACCCATCCACTCACCCACTCACCCACCACTCACTCACCCACCTACCCATCCACTCACTCACCCACCACTCACTCAGCCACCTACCCATCCACTCACTCACCCACCACTCACTCATTCAGCCACCTACCCATCCACTCACTCACCCACCACTCACTCACTCAGCCACCTACCCATCCACTCACTCACCCACCACTCACTCACTCAGCCACCTACCCATCCACTCACTCACCCACCACTCACTCAGCCACCTACCCATCCACTCACTCACCCACCACTCACTCACCCACCTACCCATCCACTCACTGACCCACCACTCACTCACTCACTCACCCACCTACCCATCCACTCACTCACCCACCTACCCATCCACTCACTCACCCACCTACCCATCCACTCACTCAGCCACCTACCCATCCACTCACTCACCCACCTACCCATCCACTCACTCACTCGCCCACCTTTCACTCACTCAGTCGCCCACCTACCCATCCACTCACTCACCCACCTGCCCATCCATCAATTCACTCACCCACTCGCCCAACCACCCATCCACTCACCCACTCACCCATCTACTCAGCCATCCACCTACCCACCCACCCAAACCATCCACCCACCCATCTATTCACCCACCCACAAATGTACACACCAACTAACCTACCCACCCATCCACACACCCACCCACCCACCCAGTGACCCACCCACAAATGTCCACACCAAGTCACCCACCCACTCACCCAGCTCGCTCAACCCGCCCGCCCGCCCACACACACACACATCCTGAACACACCCCATGCCACGCTGCACCTCTCCGCACCCATGCAGAGCTGGGCGCTGGTGGACAGGGGGTAGCGGAGGAGGGAGGAAGGGAGGGAGCTGGTGGTGGTGGTGGTGTAGCTGGTGGTGGTGGAGGAGGGGGTCAAGAGCCATGCTTCCTCCCGCCAGGATGCCAGGGCCGTTACGACCGTGGCGACCGTCGCCGGGATCTTAGCGGCCGCGTCGGTCCGAGCCGGTGTCGGCGTTCGTGGCGATGTTCTCAACGATACGGAAACTCTGGACCGGGGTCCCACATTCAGTGCATCATCGGCATGGCCAGGCTCGCTGGAACTATCGGTTCGGGGCAAGCGAAACTCTGGACCGGGGTCCCACATTCAGTGCATCATCAGCATGACCTATGAAGGCCGGCACGGCACACGAGGGGGTGGGTGGCCAGCACCACGCCCGGCCGCCTTTGTCTCCCCAGTGGCGATGTTTACACACCGCACAAAGTATTCATTTGAGGCTGAGTCGACCTAGGGGAGGCCCGGACCGGTTCAGATAATCGTCACTGGTGTTGGCCGTGAGCGGGAATCGAACCCGGGTCGCTGGGTTCATAGCGCAGCGCGCTAACCGCTACACTACCACGTACACACACACACACGTACACACACACATACACACACACACGTGTACACACACACACGTGTACACACACACACACGTGTACACACACACACGTGTACACACACACGTACACAGACACACATACACACCACACACGCACAAGCACACACACACGTGTACACACACACACGTACACACACACACACATACACATGTACACACACACGTGTACACACACACACGTGTACACACGCACACGCACACACACACACGTGTGTACACACACACATGTACACACACACGTGTACACACACACACGTACACACACACGTACACACACACGTGTACACACACACGTGTACACACACACACGTACACACGTACACACACACATGTACACACACACACGTGTACACACGTACACGCACACACACACACACGTGTACACACACACACGTACACACACACGTGTACACACACACACACACGTACACACACACATGTACACACACACGTGTACACACACACACGTACACACACACACATACACACACACACGTGTACACACACGTACACGTACACACACGTACAAAAACAAACCTCACAAATAACACCCGGGCGCGTCGCTCCTACCCGTGGTGACGGACACGCGCATCGGTGGCCCGACCATGCCGGCGGCGTCGCCGTTGTCATCCCCATCAGCAGCGCCGTCGCCGTCGCCGCCGCCAACGACGCCCTGCACCAGCAGTTGGTACTCGCTCGCCTCGCGGAGGCCGGAGACGACCAGCACGGCCGCCTGGACCGGCACCGTCACCTCCCCTCCGCCGCCTCCGGCCACGCCCACTCTCTTGCCGGCACCGCCGGCCACGCCCACTCTCCCTCCGGCCGCCCCGCCCACTCTCCCGCCATCGCCGCCGGCTGCCCCGCCCACTCTCCCTCCGGCGCCTCCGGCCACGCCCACCGGCCTGCCCGCACCGCCGCGGGCCCCGGACGCCGACGGCGCCGCCGCCGACGGCCACCAGCGGACGAGCAGCCGGCGGGCGCCGGCGCCGAGGACGCCCGCCGGCTCCCAGGAGAGCGTGAAGCTCGTGTCGTTGACCCGCACCACCGAGACGGGGACCGCTCCCGCCCCGTCGCCGTGGTTACCGGGGTCGTGGTAGCCGCGGTCGTCGTGGCGACCGGCGACGTCGCCGTCCTCCAGGGCGTTGTCCAGGAGGTCCTCCGGCTCCGGCGGCGATGACGCGGGAGGGCCAGCCCCGCCGCTCGGCTCGTCGCTGCTCGGCGGTCGAATTCGGCGCGCGGGGACAGCGCCGCCGCTGCCGCCTCCTCCTCCTCCGCCAGCTCCTCCGCCAGCTCCTCCTCGGCCACCTTGTCCCGCCTTGTCGACGCAGGTCACGGTGCGGATGGAGAGACGGGAGAGCAGCACAGACTCCCAGGCGCTTTCGTCGGAGTCCACGGCCTCTCCCGCGACGTCTCCGTCTCCGCCTCCTCCGCCGCCGGCGACGGGAGGATCGGTCCCCACGGCGGCCGTGGGGGCTACGGTGGAGCTGGGCACCAGGGCCGGAACCTCCTCTGCCGTCGGCTCGGGCGCCTGCGGGGGAGGGACAGAGAGGCAGAGCGAGAGAGAGGTAGAGAGAGAGAGAGATAGGCAGAGAGAGAGAGGCAGAGAGAGAGAGAGAGAGATAAGGAGAGACAGAGAGATAGAGAGATAGATAGAGACAAGGAGAGACAGAGAGGTAGAGCGAGAGAGAGATAGAGAGAGAGAGAGGTAGAGAGAGAGAGACATTGATAAAGAGACAGATAAATATATAAATATAGAGAGAGGAATTGATAGAGAGAGATTAACAAAGAGACAGAGAGATAGAGAGATAGATAGAGACAAGGAGAGACAGAGAGGTAGAGAGATAGATAGAGACAAGGAGAGACAGAGGGACATAGACATGGATAGACAGAGAAGAGAGCCAGAGAGACTGATAGAGACAGCGGGAGGCGCTGTCAGGGATAGAGGCGGTGTGGCTGCTGGGGACAGCGACAGGGGGTGTTGACCTTGGGGCAGTCGTGCCCGTCGGTGCCCTGGGGGCATGGCTGGGCCTGCACGGCGGGGATGAGGCAGCCGGGCCCCGTGTACGCCTCTCCACAGTGGCACACCCCGGACACGCAGCGGCCTCGGCCTCCACAGCCACCCACGCAGCCCCCGTCGAACAATCCGCCCGGGATCAGAACCTTGCGTGGCACGCGCAGCATCAGCAACGACACTTCGGTCAGCCACCACCACCACAACAACAACAACCACAACAACCACCACAACCACCACAACAACCACCACCACCACCACAACCACCACAACAACCACCACAACCACCACAATAACCACAACAGCTCACTCACTAACCAACTCAGCCACCCACATGTTTTTCTTCTTTGGTTCTTTCGGTAAAGTCGCCACCACGTAGAATGAGAATAAAATAGTAAGATCAAACAATAAAATTCCCACGACGTTTCGGCCACAACACAAGTGGCCTTCTTCAGGTGAAAGGAACAGAACTGTCGGGACGACAGAGCTTCAGGTGAAAGGAACAAACCTTTGGTTCCCGACAGGTTTGTTCCTTTCACCTGAAGAAGGCCACTTGTGTTGTGGCCGAAACGTTGTGAGAATTTGATTGCTTTATCTTATTATTTTAGTCTCATTCTACGTGGTGGCGACTTTACCGAAAGAACCAAAGAAGATGAATCCCGCGCAGTCACGAAAGCTTTCAATCGAAATTCACCCACACGCTGTGTGGAGGCTCAGCTGTGGGGCGGTATGAGCGGGACGCCTCACAGCACCGTGAGATGATTGATGAACGTCACGGAGCGGCAAAGCGGCGGCCGCTGGCAGGGAAGGGGAACTGCAGCTTAGGGCAGACCCTGACCGACAGCAGGTCACGTGACAGACCAGAGAGAGGGAGGGAGGGGGGAGGGCACACCGAGAACCCGCTGGTAGGTTCCAGAAGGGGGCGGGGGGGCGTGGCCGGGGGGGGGGAGGGCGGAGCCAGGCCACGCCGAGAGTATAAGAGGGGGGGAGGAGGGGAGCTCGGGGCTGTCGCGTGGAGCGGGACCCAGCGTCGTTGCCGCCGGAGTCTTCGCCGTCTCGGGCGGTCTGCCGGCTGTCCCGACAGCGAACCGCAGTGACTGTGAGTGTTTCTGTCAGGCCGTGTTAACAAGAAGGGTGCCTACTGCCTCCTAGAGCAGGGGTGGGCAACGTGCGGCCCCGCGGGCCGTACGAGGCCCCGCGGAATCGTTTGGTGTGGCCCTGCCGAGGCAACCGCAGGCGGGACTCGAGATTCAGCAAATGTGGGAGAGCAAAACCTGGAAAAGCAGTTCGCGAGTGGCAGCGACATCGTCAACACCAAGCTAACATCGTCACCACGTCTCGCCAAAGAGAAGCAGTTCCAGCCCACCGCATCAGCGGCGAGTCGAATACATGTTTGGCCAAATGTAACGGGGCTAATTTTTAAGTTGATCGTTTTGCACGGCCCGCGAATGATGTTGCATAAAGATCCAAATGGCCCTTGGCCATCTGTCCGAGAGCCTCTTGAGTCAGTCACTACAGACGGACAGGCATATTCGGGTCAGTCCAAGTGCCTTGGTACCTGCGGGGGGCGTTTCAGGGTGCAGTCCGGACCGGTCCATTCAGGCTCACACAAGCAAGCCCGGGTGCTCGGGTCCAGCGCACCCCTGCCGCTGCATGGATCTCTCTGCACGGTCTCTCCTGTGGGGGGTAGAGAGTGGGGGGGGGGGGGGGGGGGGGTAGGGGGGGATAAGGGGGGAGCGGCGGTTGGGGAGATACATAATTTCCACGTGTCTTTGCATGTGTGTACGTGTGTGTGTGCATGTGTGTACGTGTGTGTGTACGTGTGTGTGTGTGTCTACGTGTCTTCCACGTGTCTTCGCATGTGGTTGCCAGTGTGTGCGCGCGTGTGTGTGCGTATATGTGTGTACGTGTGTGTGTACGTGTGTGTGTGTTTACGTGTGTTCCACGTGTTTTCGCATGTGTGTGCCAGTGTTTACGTGTGTCTTTGCATGTGTGTACGTGTGTGCGTACGTGTGTGTGTGTGTGTCTACGTGTCTTCCACGTGTCTTTGCATGTGTGTGTACGTGTGTGCGCGTGTGTGTGTGTATATGTGTGTACGTGTGTGTACGTGTGTGCCAGTGTGTGTGTGTACGTGTGTGTGTGTCTGTTCCACGTCTCCTCACATGTGTGTGCCAGTGCGTGTGTGCGTGTGGGGGGAGCGGTGGTGGTGGTGTAGCGGTCACCACGCTCGAGGCTCCCTACACCATGGCCAGTGACTGGCAGTGCCTCAACCGGTGCCGGGTCCTCCCTTAGGTTGACTCAGCCTCAAATGACGACCTGGTGCTCCTCCCCCCCCGTGCCCCTCCCCCCGTGTGCCCCTCCCCCCGTGTGCTCCTCCCCCCGTGCCCCTCTGTGTATCCCCCCCAACTCCCCCATCAACCTCCCCCCCCGTGCCCCCCCGTGCCCCCCGTGCCCCCCCGTGCCCCCCCCACCAGTGAGCTCCATGCGCTCTCCACCGCAGGCTCCGTGGCCCCCCCCGCTGCAGCAGGCGGTGGGCACGGAGCAGAGGGCACGGAGGGAGGCGACCTCCCCCTCGAGCAGCTCCACACGCGCCAGCAGCCCCGCCACCTGCAGCCACCCAGCAGCAGCAGTAGCAGCAGCAGTAGTAGCAGTAGTAGTAGCAGCAGTAGTAGCAGCAGTAGTAGTAGCAGCAGTAGTAATAGCAGTAGTAGTAACATCATCATCAGTAACATCATCATCAGTAACATCATCATCAGTAGTAGCAGCAGTAGTAGTAGTAACATCATCATCAGTAACATCATCAGTAGTAACATCATCATCAGTAGCAGCAGTAGTAGCAGCAGTAGTAGTAGTAGTAGCAGCAGTAGTAGTAGTGGCAGTAGTAGCAGCAGTAGTAGTAGTAGTCACAGCAGCAGCAGCAGCAGTAGTCACATCATCATCAGTAGTAGTAACATCATCAGTAGTAACATCATCATCAGCAGTAGCAGCAGCAGCAGTAGTAGTAACATTATCATCAGTAGTAGCAACATCATTAGTAGTAACATCATTAGTAGTAACATCATCAGCAGCAGTAGCAGCAGTAGTAGTAACATCATCATCAGTAGCAGGAGCAGTAGTAGTAACATCATCATCGGTAGTAGCAACATCATCAGTAGCAACATCATCAGTAGTAGCAACATCATTAGTAGTAACATCATCATCAGTAGCGGCAGCAATAGTAACATCATCATCAGTAGTAGCAACATCATCATTAGTAGTAACATCATTAGTAGTAACATCATCATCAGTAGCAGCAGCAGCAGCAGCAGCGACGTCACAACGTGGCACGCAGCGACGTCACCACGACTTTGACCACCACCACCACCACCTGACCCACCTGCTCGTTGTACTGCCTCTGCTGCTGCTGCTGCTGGTGATTGCCACACGGAACTGACGGAACGACCACGCGGTGGGTGAACACCGCTCCTCCGCCGCCCTCCACCGTCCTCGCCGCCCCACCACCGCCGCCCCCACCGGCGGCGGCGGCGGCGGCGGCGGCATCGCCGTGACCGGCGCACTCGGAATCTCCGACGTTGATGTTGTAGACGTGGTGGAACACCAGCCGCTTGCTGCTTCCACCGCCATCGCCGGCGTCGTCCGCCTCCAGCTGATGACTCCGCTGCTGCTGCTGCTGCTGCTGCTGCCCGTCGCCCGCCGGCCTGCCGGGCATCGCGCGAGCGTCCTTCGGGAGCAGCGCCCGCGTGCAGGCGGGCAGCGACAGCAGCGCCAGCGCCACCAGCAGCGGCCGCGGGGACGGCGCCCGGCACCGGCGTCGCTGCGGCGCCTCGGTGGGCGGCAGCGGCGGCGGCGGCGGCGGCGTCGGCATCGTCGCGCGAGGAGACGGAGCCATGGGATTGGAGTGGCACTCTGCTCGGTTGACTCGCCCGGAACTTTAGCGACTACCTTAAACTAGCTGTAGTAACTAGCCCTTAACTTTAGTGACTATCTTAAACTAGCTATAGTAACTAGCCCTTAACTTTAGTGACTATCTTAAACTATAGTAACTAGCCCTTAACTTTAGTGACTATCTTAAACTAGCTATAGTAACTAGCCCTTAACTTTAGTGACTATCTTAAACTATAGTAACTAGCCCTTAACTTTAGTGACTATCTTAAACTAGCTGTAGTAACTAGCCCTTAACTTTAGTGACTATCTTAAACTATAGTAACTATAGTAACTAGTTCTTAACTTTAGTGACTATCTTAAACTATAGTAACTAGCCCTTAACTTTAGTGACTATCTTAAACTATAGTAACTAGCCCTTAACTTTAGTGACTATCTTAAACTATAGTAACTAGCCCTTAACTGTAGTGACTATCTTAAACTATAGTAACTAGCCCTTAACTTTAGTGACTATTACAACTATAATAACTAGCCCTTAACTTTAGTGACTATCTTAAACTATAGTAACTAGCCCTTAACTTTAGTGAATATCTTAAACTAGCTATAGTAACTAGCCCTTACCTTTAGTGACTATCTTAAACTAGCTATAGTAACTAGCCCTTAACTTTAGTGACTACCTTAAACTAGCTATAGTAACTAGCCCTTAACTTTAGTGACTGTCTTAAACTATAGTAACTAGCCCTTAACTTTAGTGACTATCTTAAACTATAGTAACTAGCCCTTAACTTTAGTGACTATCTTAAACTATAGTAACTAGCCCTTAACTTTAGTGACTATCTTAAACTATAGTAACTAGCCCTTAACTTTAGTGACTATTACAACTATAGTAACTAGCCCTTAACTTTAGTGACTATCTTAAACTATAGTAACTATAGTAACTAGCCCTTAACTTTAGTGACTATCTTAAACTATAGTAACTAGTTCTTAACTTTAGTGACTATTACAACTATAATAACTAGCCCTTAACTTTAGTGACTATCACAACTATAGTAACTAGTTCTTAACTTAAGTGACAATCTTAAACTATAGTAACTAGTTCTTAACTTTAGGTGACTATCTTAAACTATAGTAACTAGTTCTTAACTTTAGTGACTATCTTAAACTACAGTAACTAGCCCTTAACTTTAGTGACTGTCTTAAACTATAGTAACTAGTTCTTAACTTTAGTGACTATTACAACTATAATAACTAGCCCTTAACTTTAGTGACTATCACAACTATAGTAACTAGTTCTTAACTTAAGTGACAATCTTAAACTATAGTAACTAGTTCTTAACTTTAAGTGACTATCTTATACTATAGTAACTAGTTCTTAACTTTAATGACTATCTTAAACTACAGTAACTAGCCCTTAACTTTAGTGACTATCACAACTATAATAACTAGCCCTTAACTTTAGTGACTATCACAACTATAGTAACTAGTTCTTAACTTTAGTGACTATCACAACTAACTATAGTAACTAGCTCTTAACTTTAGTGACTATCACAACTATAGTAACTAGCCCTGAACTTTAGTGACTATCTTAAACTAGCTATAGTAACTAGCCCTTAACTTTAGTGACTATCACAACTATAGTAACTAGTTCTTAACTTTAGTGACTATCTTAAACTATAGTAACTAGCTCTTAACTTTAGTGACTATCTTAAACTATAGTAACTAGCCCTTAACTTTAGTGACTATCTTAAACTATAGTAACTAGCCCTTAACTTTAGTGACTACCACAACTAGCTATAGTAACTAGCCCTTAACTTTAGTGACTATCACAACTAGCTATAGTAACTAGCCCTAACTTTAGTGACTATCACAACTATAGTAACTAGCCCTTAACTTTAGTGACTATCACAACTAACTATAGTAACTAGCTCTTAACTTTAGTGACTATCACAACTATAGTAACTAGCCCTTAACTTTAGTGACTATCACAACTAACTATAGTAACTAGCTCTTAACTTTAGTGACTATCACAACTATAGTAACTAGCCCTTAACTTTAGTGACTATTTTAAACTAACTATAGTAACTAGCTCTTAACTTTAGTGACTATCTTAAACTAACTATAGTAACTAGCCCTTCACTTTAGTGACTATCTTTAACTATAGTAACTAGCCCTTAACTTTAGTGACTATCTTAAACTATAGTAACTAGCCCTTAAGTTTAGTGACTATCACAACTAACTATAGTAACTCGCTCCTAACTTTAGTGACTATCTTAAACTAACTATAGTAACTCGCTCTTAACTTTAGTGACTATCTTAAACTAACTATAGTAACTCGCTCTTAACTTTAGTGACTATCTTAAACTAACTATAGTAACTAGCCCTTCACTTTAGTGACTATCTTAAACTAACTATAGTAACTAGCCCTTAACTTTAGTGACTATCACAACTAACTACAGTAACTAGTCCTTAACTTTAGTGACTATCACAACTAACTACAGTAACTAGCCCTTAACTTTAATGACTATCACAACTAACTATAGTAACTAGCCCTTAACTTTAGTGACTATCACAACTAACTACAGTAACTAGTCCTTAACTTTAGTGACTATCATAAACTAACTATAGTAACTAGCCCTTAACTTTAATGACTATCACAACTATAGTAACTAGCCCTTAACTTTAGTGACTATCTTAAACTAACTATATTAACTAGCTCTGAACTTCAATGACTATCATAACTAACTATAGTAACTAGCTCTTAAATCTCCATGACACCCCCCTCATTTGCCCTCACCACCAATCACTCTCACCTCACCCTCACCACACCACCAATCACTCTTACCTCACCCTCACCTCACCACAACACCAATCACTCTCACCTCACCCTCACCGCACCACCAATCACTCTCACCTCACCAAAATTATCTCTGAACTCACTCTCTCCTCTCCTCTCTCCTCACTGATTGCTCACCCCTTTCCTCACCCCTCTCCTCACCCCTCTCCTCACCCCTCTCCTCACCCCTCTCCTCACTAATCCCTCACTCTCACCTCACTCTTCACTCTCACCTTACCTCTCTCCTCACTAATTCCTCACCTCTCTCCTCACCCACACAGCGTTAGTGGCTGTCTGTTCCACGCTCTCTGTCTGTCTGTCTCTCTCTGACTCTCTGTCTGTCTGTCTCTCTGTCTCTGTCTCTCTGTCTGTCTCTCTCTCTGTCTGTCTCTCTGTCTGGCTCTCTGTCTGTCTGTCTCTCTGTCTGTCTGTCTGTCTCTCTCTGTCTGTCTCTCTGTCTGTCTGTCTGTCTCTCTCTGTCTGTCTCTCTGTCTGGCTCTCTGTCTGTCTGTCTCTCTGTCTGTCTCTGTCTGTCTCTGTCTCTCTGTCTGTCTATCTGTCTGTCTCTCTCTGTCTCTCTGTCTCTCTCTGACTCTCTGTCTCTCTGTCTGTCTCTCTCTGTCTCTCTGTCTGTCTCTCTCTGTCTCTGTCTCTCTCTCTGTCTGTCTCTCTGTATGTCTCTCTGTCTGTCTCTCTGTATGTCTCTCTGTCTGTCTCTGTCTGTCTGTCTCTCTGTCTGTCTCTGTCTGTCTCTGTCTGTCTCTCTGTCTGTCTCTCTGTCTGTCTGTCTCTCTGACTCTCTCTCTGTCTCTCTGTCTATAGCCCCGCAAAATCTCCTCACCCCATGCACCTCCTCACCACCACCTCCTCACCACCACCTCCTCCTCACCACCTCCTCCTCACCACCACCTCCTCACCCCACCTTCTCCTCACCACCTTCTCCTCCTTACCACCTCATCGTCCCCTGCATCCTCACCCACTCGCTCACAATAAAAAAAATATCCCCTCTGTCTGTCTCTCTCGGTCTGTCTCTCTGTCTTAAGATCGCTCGCTGTGTGTGTGTCTGTTTGTGTCTCTGTGTGTGGTCTCTGTTTGTGTGTGTCTCTGTGTGTGTGTGTCTCTCTCTGTGTGTCTCTCTCTATGTGTCTCTCTCTGCGTGTGTCTCTCTCTGTCTCTCTCTGTGTGTCTCTCTCTCTCTGTGTGTCTCTCTCTGTGTCTCTCTGTGTGTCTCTCTGTGTGTCCCTCTCTGTGTCTCTCTCTGTGTGTGTCTCTGTGTCTCTCTCTCTGCGTGTCTCTCTCTCTGTGTGTGTCTCTCTCTGTGTGTCTCTCTCTGTGTCTCTCTCTGTCTCTGTGTCTCTCTCTCTGTGTCTCTCTCTGTGTCTCTCTCTGTGTCTCTCTCCGTGTGTCTCTCTCTCTCTGCGTGTCTCTCTCTACGCGTCTCTCCCCGTCTCTCCTCGTCTGTCTGTCTCTCTCTCGCTCTAGAGAGTTGAGACGAATGCCATCACTTGCCACCCATGCACGTCACGTGTCGCTCATGCACGTCACGTGTCCCCCGGTGTCTCTTCCGTACCACCAGCCTGGCCGGACTTGATAAAGCGGAGCTCTGGGCGTGTGTGCCTGGGTTAGGACGTGCGTACAAGTTGCAGGATGTGTGTGTGCGTGTGTGTAGCTGGATGTGTGTGTGCACGTGTGTGTGTGTATCTGGATGTGTTTTTGGTGTAGGTTGGTTGGTGTGTGTGTGTCTGTGTGTAGCTGTATCAGTGTGAGTGTAGGTTGGTTGGTAGGTGTGTGTGTAGGTTGGTTAGTAGGTGTGTGTGTAGGTTGGTTGGTAGGTGTGTGTGTAGGTTGGTTAGTAGGTGTGTGTGTGTGTTGGTGTGTAGCTGTATTAGTGTGTGTGTGTGGTGAAGGTTGGTAGGTAGGTGTGTGTGTGTGTGTCTATGTCCCTGTGTGTGTATATATGTGAGGATGCGTGTGTGTGTGTGTAGCTGGGTTAGGTCGTCTTTGTGCGTACGTGTGTAGGTGTGGGTGCTCGCTAGCAGCACTTGCCCCGGCAGTCTGTCAAGGCTACACGGAGGAGCTTTGTCTTTGTGCCCGCGTGTGAATGCAACTTCTTGACGTCTGTCCGCGCCCAATGTTCAGCCTGCGAGAGAAGACAAATTGATAATTATTTAATCATTGCGAATTATTATCAACACCAACCACACAACAACAACAACCGCCATTTGCCACTAAGTGGCGGTGACGTGACCACGACGCTTGTGCCAGGCTAGGTGCACGTTGAGGCCACGTGAAGTGTCGAACGCCCGCTGGCAGGAGGTCACGGGACAGACCCTGCAGGTGCCGTGGGTTGACTGCTGTGCCAGGCTAGGTGCAGGAGGAGGTCACGGGACAGACCCTGCAGGTGCCGTGGGTTGTACTGCTGTGCCAGGCTAGGTGCAGGAGGAGGTCACGTGACAGACCCTGCAGGTGCCATGGGTTGACCGACTGAGATGACTGGCCGATGCAACACCTGTGCCCCCTACTGTGGCCCCTACTGTGCCAACACGCACACACACAAAGACAAAGATCCCCCGTATAGCCTGCAACAGACTGTAGGGGCAAGTGCTGTTAGCGAGCAGCACCTATGAAGGCCGGCACGGCACACGAGGGGGTGGGTGACCAGCACCACGCCCGGCCGCCTTTGTCTCCCCCAGTGGCGATGTTTACTACACACACAGCACCAGGTAACTCATTTGAGGCTGAGTCGACCTAGGGGAGGCACCAGGACCGGTTCAGACGATCGCTGTCACTGGTTGGTGTTGGTGGCCGTGGGCGGGAATCGAACTTGGGTCGCCAGGTTCATAGCTCCAGGTCAACGCCAACAGCACCCAGTGACAGCGATCATCTGAACCGGTCCTGGTGCCTCCCCTAGGTCGACTCAGCCTCAAATGAGTTACCCGGTGCGCTGTGTGTGTTAGTAAACATCGCCACACGGGGAGACAAAGACGGTCGGGGCGGCAGTGGTTGCTGGCCACACCAACAGCACTTGCCCCCGACCAACAGCCTTCTAAAGGCTATCCGGTAGCCTTCATAGTTACCTGCTGCTGCTGCTGCTACTCGCTACTAACAGCGCTTGCCCCTACAGTCTGTTAGAGGATCTTAGTGTCTGCGATGGACCCTGCCCGGGTTTTTAAGTGAGGTTTCTTAGCGCTCCCCACTCACTCACCCAGTTACCTACTCACTCATCCACTCACTCACTCACTCACCCACTCACTCATCCATCCACTCACCCACAAATCCACTCACTCACCTACCCACGCACCCACCAACCCACTCACACACCCATTCACTCACCCACCCACTCACCCACTAACCCACTCACTCATTCATCCACTCATCCATCCACTCACCCACAAACCCACTCACTCACCCACTCACCCACCAACCCACTCACACACCCACCCACACACCCACTCACCCACCAACCCACTCACTCACACACCCACTCACCCACCAACCCACTCACACACCCACTCACACACCCACTCACCCACCAACCCACTCACACACCCACTCACCCACCAAATCACTCACACACCCACTCACTCACCCACCCACTCACCCACCAACTCACTCACACACCCCTCACTCACCCACCCACTCACCCACCAAT